ATTAGGCAAACACAAAGGCCCAGCAGGTCTAGTACTGAGAGTCAGCCATTGTTTGTATTACTGCTGCTGTGTAGCCTGATCATTTGCTGCTCTGAATAGCGGTGTCCTACGCACACGCACGCACACGCACACGCACACACACGCACACACACGCGCGCACACGCGCACACACGCACACACAGGTTTGTTTTTGTGAAAAGTGGGGACATCCCATAGGCGTAATGGTTTTTATACTGTACAAACTGTATGTGCTATTGCCCTACACCAACCCTACACCTAAACCTACCCCTCACAGGAAACTTTCTGCATTTTTTAGATTTTCAATACACTCCATTCTGTGTGATTTATAAGCTTTTTCAAAAGTGGGGACATGGGGTAATGTCCTGAAAAGTCACCTTCTCCTTGTAATACCTATGTCATACCTTTGTCATTATACAAATGTATGTCCTCATTTGCCACAAAAACACACACACACACACACACACACGTTAGTCTATAAAGACAGTTGGAAAATTGCCTCTTGTTTGTGTGATGTAATATGGCTCTTATGGAATTCTGATCTGTCAGTGGTGCTTTAGTTACATTTACTGCAGGGGGGAAATCTCAAACAGTTTAGGAAACTAGATACTGGATCGTTTGGTCATTTTGAATCTCTTCTGTTTTCTTTTTCATTCCTTTGAGAGCAGAAGAATATTTATGGTCTCTAAATAATTACCTACTAATGCTATATATTATATATATTGGGTGGTATGTCCAAAATGTTGATGTTATTACATTATGAGCCATTTTATATCATTGTATAAATGTCAAAATAGTAATTTTTTTCTGGAAATTCATAAAATGGCTTATTTTAAATAATCTGGTGGTAATACCTATTTTAAATAATTTACTCAATTTAATGATGATTTGAATATTTACTACCCTTTATTTGGAGCTTTATGGATTAACAATAATACCTTAAAATAATAAATAAAAACAATTGTAATTTAATAAAAATATTGTCTAATATCAAGATATTATTCTTGTATATTTCCAGTGCATTGAAAGAAATTGCTTTGGATAGAAGCGTCTGCTAAATGCCTAAATGTAAATAATAGATGAATAAGTTTGGCATCAGGTTCACATCAAATAACATCTTGTAGGAAACACTGGCTGAGCAAGAGTCAACTTGAAACTAAATGATAAATCAGTAGATAAATAATTTTACTTGTTTCATTGTTATTATTTATTTATAGTATAAAGGGGTTTAAAATCAAAGGGCATAGCAAAGCCAAAGAAGTAACATCTTTTCTTCTGTATTGTGACGTACATACGAGTGTAAAAGATTATCGAAAACAAAAAAAACGTAGGACGGGACTTGGTTCTATGCACCCGGTGTTGTCTGGATTTTGAGATGTGGGAATCGCGCTCAAAAATGGAAGCAGATAAATGCGATCATACAGGGGCGTGTTTAAGTGCGCTAAATGATTGGAGAAGTCCTGCATTCGTCACCAGAAAGAAGTCTGTCATTGGTATCTGGATTCATTATTTTCATTTCATGCCAACTTTAAAACAATAAAACCTAAATGATGAAATGTATGTTTAGAGCCTGAATTCAAACCCATGTATAAGGTGACATCAAAAGACTTCCTCAGGATGCATTTAAGTCCGTTAAACACTGCTTTAATGTGCATTCTCAATGCTGTTCTCGACGTTGCTCTGCTGTTACAAACATTTATAGCTCAGACCCTCAACTGCTTAAACTGTGCTCTGTTTTAAGCCCTTTCTGCACCATTGCCAATTGATGTGCATGTGTAATGTGTGGTGGCGGCATCTTCTCCTCTAGGTGCTCCCAGTGGCCTAAGGGTCCGGGGCTATTTGCTGAGGGTACCAGTCACACTTGGCTGCACAAGGCCGGCTGTTAAACCAGACTCGGTCCACTCATCAGAGTTTAGAACTACAGCCAGCACAACAGAACGGGCAGTTGCAGAATTCCCAATGCGATGGGGGAAAACTTGACATTTTCCAAAACTTGAAATCCAATGAAAATGGGGTATTTGTGCATAATGAAGCAATAAATATCATGACAATGAGAGATATAGTCTCTGTTTTTGCTAACAGTTCCACTGCTAGTTATGAACAGGCACAATTGAATCTTAAGGGAGATTGTTAGGAGCCGTGCCGTGCCGTGCCGTTGCTCAATTCTCTGAGCTTGTTCTCCAAGGACACACACATACTTGGAGACTCAAAACCCTTAGCCGGAGCATACATGGATGGGTGACCGACTTTAATCCCTTTTTTATTTTGCCCAATGTCACACAGAGGTCACCCTGGTTACTGTGTGATTGTCTCACCATCATGGTCCACCACCTCAATTTCTTCATTTCCCTGCATGGCTCCGGAGATTGCGCTGAAGTACCGAGTCATATTTAGCCTTTATTTAAGAAGATTGCTGCACGTGGGGGGAGGCAGAATGACAGGCCGCCGATGGCCGGCCGGATCAATACAACACAATTGAGTTCTCCAATCTGAGAGACTAGCTGCAGTGAAGGTGGCACTTACGGGGTGATCGCCTCTGATGAAGACTTTATTAGCCTCTATTGACAGATTCATTTGAGATCCCTCTCTCTTCATTGCCCCCACTTCACTCCAGACTCCCTCTTCCACTGTAAAGTAAGATAGTCTAAGCTCACCTTTAAAAGTTTCTGGGGTTGATGAAATGCGTTAATGGCGGAGTTATTTTGTCCTGTGTTTTCGAAGCTTCGCGAACGTTTCTTCGAAATGATTTCAAAGTAACTTTTGTTATTCTTCTGCCATCCACGATTTCTTTCGCTATTCGTGAACTTGGGTTAAGTGGTAAGCACTTGAGACCCTTGTTATCAGATACCGCAGCACCGTCAACGAGTATTCACTGTTGGAACGGAGTACTACTTAGCCTTTCCCCCATGAGAAAACAAAGAAAACATCAAGTTTCCCAAAGAAAATGTGCGAGGGAAGATTTGCTTTTGGAAGTGAGTCTAGAAGCAACCTGGCCACGGATAAGACAAAGTGTGGAAATGTTCAAATGATTTTATATTTTATCTCCAAACAAGCCGTAGGCGTATTAGATATCACAAGCTAATATTCGGCGGTCATATGTGCGCTCTGTAAAATTGGCTGAGGCTCGTCTCTGGCTTTGAAGTCACAAGTTGTTTTTTTGCGTCAAAGTAGCTGTTCAGGGGAACCCTAATCCGCCCAGTATTGCTATGGCTAGCTGTGCCTCAGCTCGACACTCACAGCAGGGTTTCGTGACTCCACTAATTTTTCCATTGTTGTTTTACCTGGTTTGTATTTGGTAACCCTCGCCCCCTCTCGCCGGCGTTCTCAGAGGGGCTGTTCCCTGCGCCCGGGTGGATTGGCCCGGGGTGCTTTCCCATCCACAAATAAAGAGCTCGTCGGAGATAATGAAGTATGTTGCATCCTCGGCTGCAGCTGTGCTTTGTTGGCTCTGTTAGATTAAGGCTTTATGTGTGGTGGACTCTGCTTATTTCTTATAAAAGCTCATCAATAAACTCAGCGCTCCAGGCCTAAATTTGTATCGTGTAACTGGCCGTTTATTTCTTGATCTCTGCTGTTCTCATCAGAAATTACTGTATGGGACACACTGTGCAGAATGTATCTGATTTTTTGTCCTTAATATATACATGTTTTATGCACTTTTAGTAAGAGTAGGGCTGCACAACCATAGAATTTTGTAGCGTGTGTATTGGATTCAATATTAATGGTTTATTGGTATTACTGTAAAAAAGATTGTAAATTGAGTATGTGTGTTTTATTATACATGGATGGTTAATTCTAACTGTAGCCAATAATTCATTGCACAAAACAGATTGTGGTCGAAAGAAAGTTGATCCTTGTTTCATATCGACCTGTATTTAACCCTGCAAAGCCTGACATAAGAAATAATACTCCAAAAAAAAAAATTTGACATCTATTTTAAATATGCAGCAGTTTTTTGAACCTTCAGACAAAATCTAATTTGTGTGTGTTTTTTTTTTGTTTTTTTTGTATTTGATAGATAATGCTTTTATGGCTAGAATGATATATATAAAAAAAACTTTGTTCAGAGGCCCAATCTGAGCAGAACGTTGTAATTTGCTACAGTTGCTGATATTTGATAAGTTGTGGTCAAAAATATATAGATTATAACATTTCTGATAATATAAATCCATGACATCCTTAAAACAGTGTAGCAGACTACTTACATAAAATGCATGTAAATATCAGTTGTTACTCTTTATCTTCCATTAACATGTCTTAGTAAGTTGATATTTAAATGCTTAGTTTATGATCAGAGATCTGTAGTTTTTATTGTGGAGGGCAAAATATATAATGCAATGCAATACAATACAATACAGTGTTTATTGAGAGAGAGAGTGCAAGTAAACACTTCTCAAAAGTCTGATGGATCACATTTGCTACACACATTTAATGATTTTTCTTAATAAAAAAAAAAGTATGAATCAAAGTAAACTAAATTGGTTCAGAATCTTGAAATATGATAACATTGTGAAGTTTGCTCTCTAGTAAATTTCACGAAAGATTACAGTATGAAGTATCTGTTTTAACAAATAAACATAGAAGATTGTATACAAAAGGTTTGCATCTTGAACATTTAGAAGCCTCAGAAATTTGTCAAATATAATACTGTAGGCTTTATAGCATTACTAAAAATACATGTATCAATAGCGGCAAAGACCAGAAAAGTACTACTCTTACTCAGTTTCTAAAAAGCGGTATCGTTGCATCCTTAATGATGAGAGAGAGGCTTTAATTTTCCCAGCAGCTGTTGCTTCAGCGGGCTCGCAGCAGAATCCTCCCACCCCGGCCAGTTCAGTCATTTTCATTAAGGCTAAATCCTACATCCTACACAGCTGCTTTAAACAAGAGATTTTGGAAACAGAGTTGTAATAAGATACCCAGCTTTACCAAGGTGAATAAGAAACAGCCCTCGCTTTACCCGCTCCCTGGCTCTACCTTTCTGTCCTGTTGCATCTTTTGCACATGTATGCACACAGGTTTGTCATGACACACCTCTCCTAAATCCATTGTTCATGTATACTGTATGTCACGCAATTATTCTTAGATATTGAATAATTTGTCCTACTAGCTTAAAATAGTTACTGACTCGTATCTCATTCATGTGTTTATGTCAGTAGGTTGAATTGCCCTCCTCTGACCTAGAGATTTCTCTTTTGTCATTCCAGATCTTTCCGATGTGGAACCCAACGTGTTTCTTAGACCTTTTCTGGAGGTGGTCCGCTCAGAGGACACAACTGGACCAATCACAGGCCTCGCTCTCACATCGGTCAACAAGTTTTTGTCATATGGCCTGATAGGTAAGTTTTTATTATGCCTGAGAAACAATGCCTGCTGTTTATTCTTCCAGAATACCAGATAACAAATCAAATGTAATCAAGCATGATTATGAACACATTCAAAATATACTATACACTACCGTTCAAAAGTTTGGGGTCAGTAAGATATTTTTTTATTTAGGAAAGAAATGAATTTTTATTTAGTAAGGATGCATAGAATTGATCAAAAGTGACGGTAAAAGCGTTTGTAATGTTACAAAAGATTTCTATTTCAAATAACTGCTGTTTCCACAAGAATATTAAGCAACACAACCATTTTCAACGTTAATAACATGTTTCAGTTATTTTAATTTGTAATAATATTTTGCAGTATTGCCGTTTCTATATTTTTGATCAAATAAATGCAGCCTTGGTGAGCATAAGAGACTTCTTTCAAAAAAATGTTTTTAATTTTACAGACCACAAACTTACGGTGGTGTAAACTGTAGAAATACAAATGCATATTATATGATAACTTTAATAGTTCACCTAGTTTCATCTGTGAAGCACTAGAGAAACGTTTAGTAGCTGCTTCATATATTGAAAATTAATGATGACCAGGGGCTGTCAGGCTCCAAAAATTACAAAATTCTTATCTATGTATTCACATGCATCATAACCAATCATGATGTACCAAATTTGAATGAGAAAGTTCAGAAAAAAGAAAATAACAAACAACATATTTGGTTTGGAACATGAGGATTTTTGGTAGATTGCATAGAATATAATCCCTTTAATGGTCTTTAATTTTTGTTACACTTTAACATTAATTATAAAAACAGCTCATTGGTCAATGTTAACAACACATTTTTACATTACCGAGTGCACTTCTCAGTGGTGAAGTCCTGATGTAAATTGACCAGAGTCACTGTTCCTGATGGGTGGACTGTATTTTCTCACTGACGCAGGAGAGCTTGTTTTGCAGCAGTTGTGATCGGCACAGACTGTCCTCTTCCTTGTTAGGGAAATATGGCCAAATGCTGCCAAAGTGTGAAAGCAGCACCCTGTTCAAGATACAAGGCGTCTCTAATTAAAAAAAAATACTATGACGGCAGTTGTCAAGCAGCTGTATGCTTTGCACAACTAAAAGATGATTTTACAAATGTTAAAGGTGCTCAAACCCATAACGTAATATAGCACGGTTCCAGAATCCATGGATTTCTGAGATGTAGATATTTTGTCCATTTGATTTTTCTACGTTGCACATTGAATAAAGATCTAATTTTAACCTGGAAATAAACAAGAGTTTCAGGGTTCAGAAAAATGTTAAACAAAAGCAAAGATATGATTTAAAACACAAGAAGACTTAAAAGGTTAGTTCACCCAAAAATGAAAATTATGTCATTAATTACTCACCCTCATGTTGTTCCAAACCTGTAAGACCTTTGTTCATCTTCAGAACACAAATTAAGATATTTTATATGAAATCTTAAAGCTTTCTGGCCTTGCATAGACAGCAACGCAGTGTACCACGCTCAATGCCCAGAAAGGTAGTAAGGATATCGTTAAAATAGAATTTTCATTTTTGATTGAATTATCCCTTTAAAATTCTACACTATTTTTTGGTCATCAATCAAATGGGTAAATGTGTGACACCTGAGAGAAAAAAAATGACATTGTGACATGGAAAAAAAGTAAAAAGATTAAATAAAAATAAATAAATAATAAATAAATTAGACAATAAAATAACTGAACTTAAAGTTTCACTGCAAGTTAATCATACGGATTTCTATTGGAATGCAATTGACAGACACACAGATGAAATAAATGAATCCCGGACACGCTGCTGTCACCCCAGATGCACCATTGTTCCTAATCCGCCATGATGCCAGCATCTCGTCAGGAAGGGTTGCTATGGCAACCTGCACTCCAACCCTTGTCTCTCTTTACATCTGGGATAAGGCATAGTAGTCACAAATGCATACATTTCCTACAGTACAAATGAAGTCATGCTCTCAAACAGTATTAGCAGAAGCACACCTGCTGTAAATATAGCATTTTTTAAAGCAATTAAGTGTGCTTATTTAAAAAAAAAAAAAAGTTACTGGCTTAATTTTCTGTCAGGTTAGGAAAACACTATATGAATTGAAAGAACACAGTTTCGCATATAATCGGTCTGTCTGTTTTTTGAGTAACATACAGAATGTAGTCTTTTTTTTTTTCTTAGCAGAGCTTCAGTACTCTTTCTCGCGCATATTTATTTTAATTCTCTCTCTCACACGCACAGAGCTGTGCTAATCCCAGGTGAGCACTCCTGACGAGCGTGACATATTAATGCACTCGTATGAGTGTGTGATTAAATGACCTTTAGGTATGTGAGAGGCTGTGTGCTGACTGATGGGTTATGCTCATTCAGACTGCACTAATCTGCCATGAGACAAAATTCTTATCTATGTATTCACATGCATCATAACCAATCATGATGTACCAAATTTGAATGAGAAAGTTCAGAAAAAAGAAAATAACAAACAACATATTTGGTTTGGAACATGAGGATTTTTGGTAGATTGCATAGAATATAATCTCTTTAATGGTCTTTAATTTTTGTTACACTTTAACATTAATTATAAAAACAGCTCATTGGTCAATGTTAACAACACATTTTTACATTACCGAGTGCACTTCTCAGTGGTGAAGTCCTGATGTAAATTGACCAGAGTCACTGTTCCTGACGGGTGGACTGTATTTTCTCACTGACGCAGGAGAGCTTGTTTTGCAGCAGTTGTGATCGGCACAGACTGTCCTCTTCCTTGTTAGGGAAATATGGCCAAATGCTGCCAAAGTGTGAAAGCAGCACCCTGTTCAAGATACAAGGCGTCTCTAATTTAAAAAAAATACTATGACGGCAGTTGTCAAGCAGCTGTATGCTTTGCACAACTAAAAGATGATTTTACAAATGTTAAAGGTGCTCAAACCCGTAACGTAATATAGCACGGTTCCAGAATCCATGGATTTCTGAGATGTAGATATTTTGTCCATTTGATTTTTCTACGTTGCACATTGAATAAAGATCTAATTTTAACCTGGAAATAAACAAGAGTTTCAGGGTTCAGAAAAATGTTAAACAAAAGCAAAGATATGATTTAAAACACAAGAAGACTTAAAAGGTTAGTTCACCCAAAAATGAAAATTATGTCATTAATTACTCACCCTCATGTTGTTCCAAACCTGTAAGACCTTTGTTCATCTTCAGAACACAAATTAAGATATTTTATATGAAATCTTAAAGCTTTCTGGCCTTGCATAGACAGCAACGCAGTGTACCACGCTCAATGCCCAGAAAGGTAGTAAGGATATCGTTAAAATAGAATTTTCATTTTTGATTGAATTATCCCTTTAAAATTCTACACTATTTTTTGGTCATCAATCAAATGGGTAAATGTGTGACACCTGAGAGAAAAAAAATGACATTGTGACATGGAAAAAAAGTAAAAAGATTAAATAAAAATAAATAAATAATAAATAAATTAGACAATAAAATAACTGAACTTAAAGTTTCACTGCAAGTTAATCATACGGATTTCTATTGGAATGCAATTGACAGACACACAGATGAAATAAATGAATCCCGGACACGCTGCTGTCACCCCAGATGCACCATTGTTCCTAATCCGCCATGATGCCAGCATCTCGTCAGGAAGGGTTGCTATGGCAACCTGCACTCCAACCCTTGTCTCTCTTTACATCTGGGATAAGGCATAGTAGTCACAAATGCATACATTTCCTACAGTACAAATGAAGTCATGCTCTCAAACAGTATTAGCAGAAGCACACCTGCTGTAAATATAGCATTTTTTAAAGCAATTAAGTGTGCTTATTTAAAAAAAAAAAAAAGTTACTGGCTTAATTTTCTGTCAGGTTAGGAAAACACTATATGAATTGAAAGAACACAGTTTCGCATATAATCGGTCTGTCTGTTTTTTGAGTAACATACAGAATGTAGTCTTTTTTTTTTTCTTAGCAGAGCTTCAGTACTCTTTCTCGCGCATATTTATTTTAATTCTCTCTCTCACACGCACAGAGCTGTGCTAATCCCAGGTGAGCACTCCTGACGAGCGTGACATATTAATGCACTCGTATGAGTGTGTGATTAAATGACCTTTAGGTATGTGAGAGGCTGTGTGCTGACTGATGGGTTATGCTCATTCAGACTGCACTAATCTGCCATGAAGAGTGACATTATCATTACTCCCAATTAGCATTCCATAGACATACAGTACAGCCACACGCTATAGGCCTTACGTTAACAGCTCTGATTGATTCACAACTTGCTCTGATACAGGGCTCTTAACTTTGGATGTTGGTTATAGACTGTAATTGATCACTGACTCTTCAGATCTTTCAGGGGTTTTATTGTATGGTTTGTGTGGATGAGATGCTGAAGACTAACTTTATATTCTCGGGAACTAGCGCAAAAAAAAATTTTTTGGGTCATTATTGACAAATGCTAACCGTAATGATCATGAATATGATGTGTGGACACTCTATCTATCTATCTATCTATCTATCTATCTATCTATCTATCTATCTATCTATCTCTCTATCTCTCTATCTCTCTATCTCTCTATCTCTCTATCTCTCTCTCTATCTATGTATCTATAGGCGTCTCTAATTTAAAAAAAATACTATGACGGCAGTTGTCAAGCAGCTGTATGCTTTGCACAACTAAAAGATGATTTTACAAATGTTAAAGGTGCTCAAACCCGTAACGTAATATAGCACGGTTCCAGAATCCATGGATTTCTGAGATGTAGATATTTTGTCCATTTGATTTTTCTACGTTGCACATTGAATAAAGATCTAATTTTAACCTGGAAATAAACAAGAGTTTCAGGGTTCAGAAAAATGTTAAACAAAAGCAAAGATATGATTTAAAACACAAGAAGACTTAAAAGGTTAGTTCACCCAAAAATGAAAATTATGTCATTAATTACTCACCCTCATGTTGTTCCAAACCTGTAAGACCTTTGTTCATCTTCAGA